GTCCCTGTTCCCATTACTATGGAACCCACTTGGACACTGAACTGCCATGGGCTACATCTGTGCAGGGGTTCTAGGTTACGTCCATGAATGGTCTTTGGTTGGAGTATCAGTCTCAGAAAAATACCCCTGTGCCCAGATTTTTTGGTTCTGTTGTTCTCCTTGTGGAGCTCCTGTCCTCTCCAGGTCTTATTATATCCCACTTCTTTCATAAGATTCACTGCACTCTGCCCAAAGTTTGGCTATAAGTCTCAGCATCTGCTTTGATATCCTGAAAGCTAGAGCCTTTCAGAGGCCCTCTGTGGTAGGCTCCTGTCCTGTTCCCTGTTTTCTCCCTCTTCTGATGTCCATCCTCTTTGCCTTTCTGAATGGGGAATGAGCATCTTAGCCAGAGTACTCCTTCTTGATTAGTTTCTTTAGGTGTACCAACAGAATTCTTTACAGACCTTGAAAGAAAAATTCTCAACTTCATATGGAATAACAAGAAACCCAGAATTGCTAAAACAGTCCTCTACAATAAAAGAGGAGTCTGTCCATTCCTGATCTCAAGCTGTAGTATAGAGCAACAATACTAAAAACTGCATGGCACTGGCATTGAAACCGACTGGTGGATCAATGGAATCAAATAGAAGACCCTGAAATAAATCCACACACTTGTGGACACCTGATTTTGACAAAGATGCCAAAACCATTCAATGGAAAAAAGATAGCATCTTCAACAGATGGTGCTGGTCTAACTGAATATCTAAAAGTAGAAAAATGCAAATAGATCCATATTTATCACCCTGCACAAAACTAAAGTCCAAGTGGATCAAATACCTCAATATAAAGCCAGACACACTAAACCTGTTAGAAGAAAAAGTGGGGAAGAGCCTTGAACTCATTGGCACAGGAGACAACTTCCTGAACAGAACACCAACAGCACAGGCTCTACGAGCAACAATCAATAAATGGGACTATTCAAGAGGGAGGACTCTGGTAAAATGCTCAATCCCGATCCCGAAAGGCAAAGAGGATGGACATCAGAAGAAGAAGAAACAGGAAACAAGTTAGGAGCCTGTCACAGAGGGCCTCTGAAAGGCTCTGCCCTACAGACTATCAAAGCAGATTCTGAGACTTACGGCCAACTGTTGGGCAGAGCACATGGAATCTTATGAAAGAAGCAGGAAATAGTAAGATCTGGAGTGGACAGGAGCTCTACAAGGAAAGCAACAGAACCAAAAAATCTGGGCACAGGGGTCTTTCCTGAGACTGATACTCCAACCAAGTACCATGCATTGAGATAATCTAGAACCCGTGCACAGATGTAGCCCATGGCAGTTCAGTGTCCAAGCGGGTTCCATAGTAATGGGAACAGTGACTGCCTCTGACATGAACTGATTGGCTTGCTCTTTGATCACTTCATCCTGATGGGTGAGCAGCCTTACCAGGCCACAGAAGAAGACAATGCAGCCACTCCTGATGAGACCTGACAGACAAGGATCAGAAGGAAGGAGAAGAAGTCCTCCCCTATCAGTGGACATGGAGAGGGGCATGGGTGGAGAAGGGGAAAGGAAGGTGGGATTGGGAGGGAGGAAGGGAAGGAGGGAGCTATGGGGGGATACAAAATGAATAAAGTGTAATTAATAAAAATTAAAATAAAAATAGTAAAAAAAAATAAATGGGACCTCATGGAACTGAAAAGCTTCTGTAAAGCAAAGGACACTGTCAGAACACAATGACAGCCTACAGATTGGGAAAGGATCTTCACCAGCCCTATATCTGACAGAGGGCTAATATCCAAAATATATAAAGAAGTCAAGAAGTTAAACAGGAATAAATGAATTAATCCAATTAAAATGGGGTTCAGAGCTAAACAGAGAATTCTCAATAGAAGAATATGGAATGGCAGAGAAACACTTAATGAAATGCTCCAGGTCCTTAGTCATCATGGAAATGCAAATCAAAACGACCCTGAGATTTCACCTTATACCCATCAGAATGGCTAAGCATACCAAGTTTTTTGTTTGAATTTTTTTATACAATCAGACAGTTCCCATCATGACTAATGTCCCATTATTTATTATTTTGGAGCTTTGAAGCACTGTCTTTACATCTTAGGATAGTGAAGCACCACTGTCATTTTCTATCTTTCTTACCTTACTCATTGTTTTAAATGCCTTTTTTTTTTAAGTCCTAGAGTGACTGAGCAGGAAGGCTCTAGCATGAGAACAACTTGTTCCATTTTAGGTACTTGAAATATTTATCCACTTGAAATAGGTTTAACTTTATTGGGCTTGAATTACCCTTCTGTCAGTCAGTTTAGGATGTAAGGCAAACTGCGTAACTTATTACAAAGTATTGAGAAATTAACTCTATCGTGACTTCATTCCATGTATTCTTTTAGTGAAAAAAAAGATACAGCTGGTTGCAAAATATATCTCCTTAAAACAGGCCCAGAATTATACAAAAGAACATACAAACAAAAACCAATAGATGACAACCAATCCTGGTGAGGCTGTATAGAAATGAGAACCCTAATATACTGCAAGTGGGAATGTACAATTATGCAGCCTTTGCAGGAACTCTTATAAAATTAAAGACAATTACGTTTTTATTTTAAATACTTGCTTATTTGGTGTGCAAATGTTTTCCTTAAATGTATATCTGTACACTGCATGTGTGCCTTGTATCCTGTAGAGCTCAGAAATTGGCATCATATTCCCTGAACTAGAGGGAAACTGGAGTCACAGGTGATTGTGAGCTGCCACGTAGGTGCTGGGAATCAAAATCTTGTGCTCTAGGAAGAGTAGCCAGTGCTCTTAACTGCTGAGTCATCTCTCCAGCTCAACAGAATTATCTTAATGACCAGTAATTCTACTCATAGGTTATGTACCCAAGAGAAATGAAAAATTATGCCTGTTTAAAACTTATGTAGATGTTTACAGCAGTATAATTCATAATAGCTTCAGAAAGGAAAATAATTTAAGTGTTCATCCATCCATGAATATTTTACATATATGAAATATTGTATTTACATATGGATGAAATATTCATCCATCCATGAATATTTTACATATAATGAAATATTATCAGCTAATAGAAAGGATAAAGTGCTGATACACAGATGAAGCCCCAGAAACATTATGCTAAGTGAAAGAAGCCAAACATAAAAGGCAATATTTTATTTTTAAACATGATTTTTACTTTGGTGTAAGTCTAACACTACATACATAAAAATGGCCAAAATAGGCAAGTCCATGATGGCAAAAAGTAGCTTTGTGGTTACCAGGGAACTGGGAGTAGAGAGAACTTGGATTTCTCATAAAAGACAGAATTTCTTTATGAAGTAATGGAATACTCCAATATTGAGTAAGACTGGTAGATGTACAATGCTAAATATAGTAAAACTCATCAAATTGTGTACATTTAAAGGATGAATTTAATGGTATATAATTACTATAATAAAAATGAAAGTGTGTCCTATCACAGCTATTTGAAATTATGAAAGTATACCTAACTTATATTTTATGCTAGGAACTGGAAGAGAGAGAACAGGAAGTTCATGTTTACTGGGTATGTTGTTTCAGTTCAGGAATCTATGAATTTCTGGAACTAGATGGTGATGATGGCTACACAAAGTTGTGAATATACTTAATTCTACAGAAATATAGATCTTTAAAAGTGATTAAAACATTGGTTGATCTTGGCTTTTTGAATGACATGAACATTTATACCTTATAAATATATAACATCTCTGTATCTTCCTAAGTGGATTTTCTTTTGTGAAGTAGGATGGAAGTAGCACCAAAATGCACTGAAAATATAAATGCACTGAGTTTCAGAATGCCAAGGAAGGGTAGGACAGTAGAAGGGGGAAAAACGTACATAACATGAGCCCATTTCAAAAATACAAAAAGTGGAAGGAGAATGTATTTGGCAGTGAGTCACTTACAAGGGAATGGAATTATTTCTGAAGGCTGTGATAATTTGAATTATTTTTGAAGGCTGAGGTTGTAATCTATGAGAATGAAGCAGTGAAAAGGTTTTCTAAGTTGCTGGGTCAATAGTTTCATTGATGTTCGATAATCAGAGGTGTGTTTTGCTTGACCAGGAAGTGGTTTCTTATAAAAGTACAAGGAATATGGTGTATGTGACAGGCAGAGAGAAAGTAAGATGGGGGTGAGTAAGAGTGCCATTGATTTAGCTCTTCTACTCTTGGAAGACCATTTTTATCCTTTACAAGGGTCTCTCCAGAGTTTGGCACAGTGGTAGTTGATTAAAGGATCTAATCAGAGTTGATGAATGCAGAAACTCAGAACTCCCCTGATGGCATTAATGACCTCATGATCTCCTAATCAGACTTCTGTTATACAGATGAGCCCTTTTTCTTGTAGTTCCATGATTTTGATTCCTGTTTTCAGTTGTCCTTTTATAAGGCACACAAAAATTCTTGTATTTTTAGTCTGTGATTTGAATGATTATTTTCATTTTCTTTGATTTTTGTTCCTTGGTGAAAATTTCATGTCTTTTGAGTGATTTAATATTCTGTGGTAACTATTGCAACTTGTATTAACTTTTTATGTTGATACAGTCTGGTTTGCTATATAAACTGATGGTTACATATGATTATTTATACATTTTTCTCTTCCAGTCATTGTTTCAGATGCCTTCCAGCTTGTTTCTGCTACTTTAGTTTTTATTCTCCTCAGATGTAAAATAAAACATGTTCTGCTTTTACAGATAACATGGAGAAACATAAAAAATTGTTCCTTAGGAGACTGAACATTCACTCTTTACAGTTGAAGTAGTCACAGGATTGTCCAGTAAACAGACTCTATTAAATGAAAAATAGTGACTTCTAAAATCTCTGGGATTTAAAAAATGCCTTTGATGATCACTTATGAACCTTTGATACATTTCTGATTCTTCTTAGTTATTTACCTATTTCAAATGATTTTTAGTATTTGAACTTAGGAACCTTCATATCCAGTGATGGCTTTAATCTCTGCTGTCTTCAACAGTGCCCTTAAAGACAGCCGTTTTCCACCAATGACAAGGGATGAGCTGCCACGCCTTTTCTGCTCGGTGTCTCTGCTCACTAACTTTGAAGATGTCTGTGACTATTTGGACTGGGAGGTAAGCTTATAGACACTTTAACATGAAAGTGACTGCTGAGTAGATGTTAACAACTGGGTCCAGAAAATATGGCTTTCCATCCATTCTAACACAGAAATAAAGCTCCCCATTGAACAATGAGATGTGAGGGAATGATTTTTTTAATGGCCATATAGCCTGTGGTGTTAGAATCTCCAAATTGAATGTGGTGTTCAATTTTATCCTCTTACCTCACCTAAGCACCCAATAAAGGCTGTTAATAGGTACTAAGAAGGACTGACTGGAATCTGCTTCTCCCTGTATTTCCATTCCATTCCAATGCAGTGTGCTGTAACTGCCACAGAACGATTAGGCAGTCAGAGTACACATATTAGAAAGAAGGAGCAAAAGTTAGTAAAAAGTGTCACTTGGGGGAAAACAGTTTGTGACAATGGCAGAGTATTAGTAAACTAGAATGAAATAATGTGAGCTTATTTTTGGCTATATCAATGTACACATTTGAAATTATATTGACAATACTCTTCTATCTAGAGTATACCTGTGCATTGCCATTCTCAGAGATACCTGTATAATCATATATTTTCATTCAACTTTACTATGAGGGATTAAAAAGTTCTCATTGTGATTTACTTGGTGGTTGAAATAGTTGAGTGGCGGTCATTATTGTCTTCCTGAACATCAGTTATGTTGCAGCCAGTGTTCTACATGTACAGAAGTGGCAAGATAGGGTCTCTTCCATGATGCAGAGGAAAAAAAATATGTAAGGTATGAAGAAACCAGAGGTAGAAGAATGAAACAAGGGGAATTTGTTAATAAATAGCATCATCTCATACCTACCTATAAATGGAATTACTGTGTACTTCTGCTGGTTTTGAAAAATCATTCCTGTTGTTACTGAGACTTCGTTGTAACCAGATTTATTGTCTTCACAGTTAATTGGACAGGAATTTTATTTCATTTTTGCTTTCTCTGTGATTTCTTGTGAGACTATAGATGGTTTGTTCCACTGAAGTTCACTACTTCTGTGCATAGAATAATGTTCAGTAGATTCATCTCAGATGACCTCTGATATGAAATGTTTTTGTGATACCAGAGCTATTTTATTTTATTTTATTTTTTGCATAGAAGAGGATGAAAGTGTCCCTTTGGGATTTTGTGATAAGCTTTTTGTGTCATTGTCAGAATATGAAAGCATCCTAGGATCTTTATAAAAGAATGAAATAATTTAAGAAGACATACTAGAAAAATTGAAAAGTGTCAACTAAAATTTTCTACTTTATTTTTTGTTGATGTCCCCTCCCTTCCTCCTTCCCTCCTTCTCTTCTTTCCCTCTATCACCTTTTAGTTTGCTTGAGATAGGGTCTCACCATGTTGCCCAGACTGCCCTCAAACTCAAGACCCTCTTACGCTCTCCCTCCAGGGGAGAAGGCTTACAGGTATGCTTCATGACACCAGACCTGTTCAGATGTTTTTATTTTTATTTTGTTAAAGTTAAGTTTACCACTTAAGGACTATCCCCCAGAAAGTTTTACTTAATGGCTCCATTGATGAACAGTTACTATATTCTAGATGATTATTTATACTGTTTTAGGACTGTTGCTATCTCTTCTCCATCCAGAGTTTAATTTTTGCTTTATAGATTGGAAAATGTATTTATATATGAATATATGAATATATATAAATATCATATATATACTATACATATATATAGTGGTGGTGCTGTGCAGAGTGAGAATGGGGAAAGGCCTAAGATCAAGGGGATGAACAAGCTACAGAAGCTCTTTTACCTTTACTTTCAGCCACTGAGTTGAAAATACAGTTTGACAGGGAACAAGTCAGAAGCCTGTCACAGAGGGCCTCAGAAAGGCTCTGCCCTGCAGACTATCAAAGAAGATGCTGAGACTTATATCCAACCTTTGGGCAGAGTGCAGGGAATCTTGTGAAAGAAGTGGGAAATATTAAGATATGGAGAAGACAGGAGCCCCACAAGGAGAGCAACAGCACCAAAAAAATCTGAGTACAGGGGTCTTCCCTGGGACTGATACTCCAACCAAGTACCATTCATGGAGATAACCTAAGACCCCTGCACAGATGTAGCCCATGGCAGTTCAGTGTCCAAGTGGGTTCCATAGTAATGGGAACAGGGACTGCCTCTGACATGAACTGATTGGCCTGCTCTTTGATCATCTCCTCCTGAGGGGGAAGCAGCATTACCAGGCCACAGAAGAAGACAATGCAGCCACTCCTGATGAGACCTAACAGACTAGGATCAGAAGGAAGAAAAAGAAGACCTCCCCTATCAGTGGACTTGGGGAGGGGCATGCATGTAGAGTGGGGAGGAAGGGAGGTGGGAGGGAACCACAGGGGGGATACAAAATGAATAAAGTGTAATTAATAAAGAATTTTTTAAAAAAGATCTCTGTACCAACAAAGCTGTAGAAATATTAAAGGAATACATTAAAAAAAAAAAAGACCCTGAAAACTTACAGGAACTATATTCTCAAAGAGTAACATCTCCATATCTGCTTCTGCTTCTTCTTCTTTTTTTTTTTTTTTTTTTTTTTTTTTTTTTTTTTTTTTTTTTTTTTGGAGGGTTTGAGACATAGTTTCTCTGTGTAGCCTTGTCTGTCCTGGACTCTCTTTGTAGAACAGGCTGGCCTCAAACTCACAGAGGTCCACCTGCCTCTGCCTCCCAAAGTGCAGGGATTACAGGCTTGCACCACCTTGCCCAGCTAACAATTGCATTTTTAAACTTTATTTTTTTATAATTACGCTTTACTCATTTTGTGTCCCACCTGAAGCTCACTCTCTCCTCCCCTCCCAAACCTACTCCCTCATCTCCTCCCATGCCCCTCCCCAAGTCCACTGATAGGGGAGATCCTCCCCCCCCCCTTCCCTCTGACCCTAGCCTATCAGGTCTCATCAGGACTGGCTGCATTATCTTCCTCCTTGGCCTAGTAAGGCTGCTCCCCCCAATCAGGGGTAGGTGATCAAAGTGCAGGCCACTGAGTTCACATCAGAGAGAGTTCCTGTTCCCATTACTAGAGAACCCACTTGGAGACTAAGCTGCCTTGGGCTACATCTGTGCAGGGCTTCGAGGTTATCTCCATGAATGGTTTTTGTTTGGAGTATCAGTCTCAGATAAGACCCCTGCCTCCTTGTGGAGCTCCTGTACCCTCCAGGTCTTTCTATCTTCCCCTTCTTTCATAGGATTACCTGAACTCTGCCCCACAGTTTGGCTATGAGTCTCAGCTCATAGGTATCTGCTTTGATACCTTGCTGGGTAGAGTCTTTTAAAGGTCCTCTATGGTAGGCTTCTGTCCTCTATCCTGTTCCCTGTTTTCTCTCTCTTCCGATGTTCATCCCATTTGCCTTTCTGAGTGAGGTTGATCATCTTACTCAGGGTCCTCCTTCTTGCTTAGCTTTGTTAGGTGTACAGGTTTTTGTATATTTCTCTTATATTATATGTCTAATATCCACTTATAAGTGAGTATATGCCATGTGTGTCTTTCTGCTTCTGGGATACCTCACTCAGGATGATCTTTTCTAATTCCCACCAATTGGCTGCAAATTTCATGATTTCCTTGTTTTTAATTGCTGAGTAGTATTCCATTGTGTAAATGTAGCACAATTTCTGTATCCGTTCTTCAACTGAAGAACATGTGGGTTGTTTCCAAATTCTGGCCATTACAAATAAAGCTGCTATGAACATGGCTGAGCAAATGTCCTTGTTGTATACTTGAGCATATTTTTGATTTATGCTAAGGAGTTCTATAGCTGGACCTGACAAAGCACTATTCCTAATTGTCTGAGAAAGCGCCAGATTGATTTCCAGAGTGGTTGTACAGTTTACATTCCCACCAGCAATGGAGGAGGGTACCCCTTTCTCCACATCCTCTCCAGCATGTGTTGTCACTTGAGTTTTTGGTCTTAGCCATTCTGATGGGTGTAAGGTGAAATCTCAGGGTGGTTTTGATTTGCATTTCCCTGATGACAAAGGATGTTAAACATTTCTTTTTTTTTTATTTTAAACTATTAAAGTATATTAATTACACTTTATTCACTTTGTATCCCCCCTGTGGTTCTCTCCCTCCTCCCGTCCCAATCCCTCCCTTCCTCCACCCTCTGCATGCATGCTCCTCCCCAAGTCCACTGATAGGGGAGGACTCCTTTTCCTTCCTTCTGATCCTAGTCAATTAGGTCTCATCAGGAGTGGCTGCCTTGTCTTTTTCTGTAATGCTGCTTTAAAGAGCAGACCAATCAGTTCATGTCAGAGACAGTCCCTGTTCCTATTACAATGGAACCCACTTGGATACTGAACTGCCATGGGCTACATCTGTGTAGGGGTCTTAGGTTATCTCCATGCATAGTCCTTAGTTGGAATATCAGTCTCAGGAAAGACCCCTGTGCTCAGATTTTTTGGTTCTGTTGCTCTCCTTGTGGAGTTCCTGTCCTCTCCAGATCTTACTGTTTCCCACTTCTTTTCTAAGATTCCCTGTACTCTGCCCAAAGGTTGCCCATAAGTCTCAGCATCTACATTGATAGTCTGGAGGGAAGAGCTTTTCAGAGGTCCTCTGTGTCAGCTCCTGACTTGTTCCCTCTTTTCTCCTTCTTCTGATGTCCAGCCTCTTTGCCTTTCTGGATAGGAATTGAGCATTTTAGCAAGAGTCCTCCCTCTTGATTAGTTTCTTTAGGTGTACAGATTTTAATAGGTTTATCCTATATTATATGTCTATAATGAGTGAGTATATACCGTGTGCATCTTTCTGCTTCGGGGATAGCTCACTCAGGATGATCTTTTCCAGATCCCACCATTTACCTGCAAATTTCATGATTTCCTTTTTTTTATTGCTGAGTAATATTCCATTGTGTAGATATACCACAATTTGTGCATCCATTCCTCCACTGAGGGGCATCTGGGCTGTTTCCAGCTTCTGGCTATTACAAATAAGGCTACTACAAACATGCATGAACAAATGTCCTTATTGTGTACTTGAGAAACTTTTGGATATATGCCTAGG